AGGGTAAACTTCAATTTTAAAAATTAAAGTATCATGTCGCAGAAAATCAGTTATGTCGCGCAGACATATAAATTCTGTATAACCGAAGCTACGTTTATTCAATTCACACGTGGGTTTTTGAAATGCCTCAAGATCTGGTATTGACAATGTCTTTTCACATATATTTTTTTCCGAATTTTGTGGATGTACCAACGCAAAAAACATTGTACCATTAAACGGCCAGTCCAAAGCGTCGTCATTTTCTGATTTCATAATATGTAAAAGGAAAGACAGATAATCGGGATCCTTGGACGATATATTAATCCTTGCACAGATCTTATATCCGTTTGGACTTGTATAAAAGCCCGGACTATAGAACATTTTTTGAGGATCGTTTGTCATAGCGTCGAGTTTTTCTTGGAAAGATTTCAGTCTCCATATATAAACTCCATTACAATTTCGTAGACACATAGCCGCGAGCTGATTTTTCTGATTAGATACTGTTATAGAGAGCTCCCGGTTTTCTTGCTCCAAAACTACTATTCTTTCATATAGATTTCTAAAAACAAAGTTTACATCTTTCATATGTATTTCAGCATATATAAATATAATCTTTTTAAAATCCTATTTAAATTACTTGAGCAATTGTTGCCAATCAGGAGAAGGCTCTTCCTTGTCTGCAACTTGTATCCTATTTTTTAGAGGTGGATCCCATAATTTTGACTCCACAGACATTGCATTAGTGCTATTTTGTACTACCAAATAATTAATTATAACAATTAATTTTAAAAAGTAGGAGCAATTTATATTACTTCGTATTAATTTAATTATATAAAATATACCTCGAGGCTCTGAAATATCTTGTTTATATGTGCATTGAGTGATATGTGTTTCCATATCCACAGGAGACAATTTTACTTGACAACCAAATTGCTGATAAATACAACTTGTACGTTTCTGAGATATCTCTCTAGTGGTATAAAGATCTGGGAAAAGATTTTCAGATTTCAAAGGTTGACTATCAACTGGACAGCAAGCGCCTTCTTTCCTAATAATTTACAATAACTAGTCAACTTATATACAACGATAGAATCATGATTAATGAAATGAAATACAACTTACTTAAGCCAAGTGTAAATACACTGAGAACAAAATTTATGGCCACAAGATGTTAAAACTGGATCGCGTAGCCATGTTAGACATATAGGACATTCAAATCTAGGCTCTACATAGCCTTTGATGTTCTCCTCACACTGCATGCAATGAAATTGTAAACAGATATTTACAAATAAATGATACACATTAATATAAATGTTAAAATGGATAAAAATACAAGATCGTGAGGTAATTTTGTTTGATAACAAACAATTAATTTCTTATTTGCCAAATAAGTGTATAGTTAATAAACAGATACATAAATGAAAAAATATTTTCTATTTGACAAAATTACAGATACGTACTTTTTCGCTTTCCTCGGCGACCTTAGCAAGTTCTACTGAGTTGTCCGACGTTTCCATAATCTACAAATAATCATTTTGTTTACTAAATTAGACAACAAGATATCTATGAAGCGCATCAAATAATTATTAAGTTGAGTTATCGTACCTCTGATATTGATAGAATTAGGCTTATTCGACGTTTTTGCACGAAATGAATGAATCTGATTGACAAAAGCTTCGCTCTGCTCAGCGAACTAAGATATTAACCGTCAAAGTTGACGACAGGTTAGGAAACCTGAATAGTTACCCTACTTACAAAAAGTAGGATTCAGGATCAGGAACATGACTTCGTGCACGAAAGTGCATCTAGGATCAGGAATATGACTTCGTGACGAAAGTGCATCTAGGTATATTCTTTATTCCTGCACTACCTGAACTGGTGCACATGGTGCAATAAGTTAAAGTGAAATAAATATACGCTTCCAACTTATTGGAGTGTATAGCAATTGCTCACGAGCCAATTGCACACAAGCCAATCATAGCACTAAAAAAAAAAATAAATAAAAAAATCCTTGAGCAGAAATCGTGATTGACAGTGGGCAATTGCTACAATGTACAAATCATGGAGTAATAAGAAGGAAATCAAACTCGAGGTTTTCACTGTCTGAGTTGATATACATGATGCAATTAGAAACTCTTTAATCAGAGACTGGCCATAAGGATTTTGTCAAATTTCTTCGAGCGAGAAAGGAGTATAGGTCATCTCATTCCTCCACCAATAGCGGTGTGTGTGTATGATGTATGTAAAATCTAATTGCACCGTGTGTATCAATTCAGACAGTGCAGGAATAAGGAACAGACCTAATATCTATTACTACGTTTACACAGCACGCTTTACGTCGAAGTTTAACATCAATGTTATAAAACTGGCCAATCACAGTCATTCCATTCTTCAGAGGAATAGCTATAATTGGTCAGTTTCATAACATCGATATTATAACTTCAGCGTAAAGCATGTCGTATAACAGAGGTCTACGATGTATATATATATATATATATACACACACCTTCCTAGAGATTCGTCCGTAGAATGGT